GTGGAAGTTTGGTATTTTATTATCGAAGCATTACATTTCAACAACATAGATACCAAAACATTTTGATCGTAGTCCCTAATCTTGTCATGCTCTTTGTACTGAAAAATTAAAATGCATTTGGGCATTACTAGGGGTGTAAATGGGCTAGGCCAGCTTACAGTAGCCTACGGTCTAACCTATATTAGGCCAAGCTTGACCTATTATAAATAGTGAAGTAGAACAAGCCTAGGCTTTTAAATAAACCTATTTAGAAAATAGGCCATAATTTTTTTTGTACATATCAGGCCTATAAACCTATAGACCGGCCTATTTCATATTTTTTATTTTAAATAAAATTATTATTTTAATAATTTTGAATAATAAAATAATATTATTTTAGTTATTTTTAATATTATTTTAGTTATTTTTAAGTTGTTGAATATTTAATAGGCTTAAATAAGCTAACAGACCTAGGCTAAAACTTTTATTTTTTAAATATAGGTCAGACCAGACTTGTAATTTGGGGCCTACATGGACTAACAGGCCAAACCATATGCTATGTTTTTATATAGACTTGATCTATTTTAGCCAAAATCTAATCTAACCTAACCTATTTACACCCCTAATTAGGGGGGAAACTGGGTCGGGCCGGCCTATAGGGGCCTACAGCTAGGCCTACATCAGGCCAGATCTGACCTAGTATATTTTGTATAATAAGTCGGGTTTGGGCCTTAAAAAAGCCTGTTTAATAAAAAGGTCGTAGGCCCACTTTCAAAAGGCCGGGCCTATAAGCCCACAGGTCAGCCTATATTGTACTATTTATTTTAAATAAAATAAAATAGAGTAAGTATGTCTTGAAGAAAAAACAAAAGATATAAATTTAATCAATTGCAATTATTTATAACTTAATTATATTCAATTATATTTTAATAGAAATCTTATATTATTTCTTATATAGGAGGAACCAACATCTTAACATGTTAGATTGTATATATGAATACATCAAAAGATTTTTGGGAGAGTTATACTTACTACAAGCATCATGATTTGTTTGTTGGATTCATGTAGTTATTTTAATTTACATAGTATGGATTTGTTTATTGGATCTGATGAAATATATGTTATTTAGTTTGAACATTTTGCTTTTGAAAATGACTTAAGTGCATATTGTATGAGTTTTGTTATGATTCATGATTCTGTTTGAACGTTGAAATTATGATTTTTGGTGTAGCAACTGAATTTGAGTACTTTGTAAAGTTGATTCATGGTTCTGCTTTGAAGTTAAAAATTAACAGGCTAACGGGCCAAGTCAGGTCATTTGTTTTTTATAAACGGGCCAAACCAGGCTAACAGTTAGACTCATACTAGACTTGGGCCAGGCCAAATTGAAATTTTTTGACGTAAGCTAAGACTTTTCGAAGCAGAGCTTAGCCCAACCCAGCCCACTTTCACTCCTACCCCTAATATTACACACCTAACATTCAAATTAATGTAAGAAGATGCAACATCGTATGGAAAATGGACAAAAAGTCTTCAATTTTTGTGTTGAATTATCGTAAATATTGCCCTTGGCCTCAAAATTATGTGATAATGACCGACACTAACCCCTGGCACTGAACACGATATGACGATAGGGTCGTCGGGGACCATCCTGTACTATTTTTGGTCACATTCGCTTTCGGTTGTCTTTCAACACCAGAAACAATGTCCCACACATAAAGAAAGCTTCATTACCCTACATTAGTGGCTACACTTAAAATGCAAGTGTTTCCACTTTCTTCTAATCAGTCCCCTAAATCTGCGCTGTCACTCATAATGCTATTCACACAAAAGTTGTTATAAATATGATCACATGTGGCAGTACTCATATATAATATGACATTAAAATTAACTCAATCCACAAACTTTTGTACCCACTATAGTTAGAAAATAAAATGCTATAATTAAGACTATTCATGAAAGTGGGGCTTTGAGTTTAGGCTTTTGTATATAGTAAAACACTTAAATCAACTTTGCCTTCAATCACCATTAGCATATATAATAAGTACATCCATTTTAAAATTATCAAGCATATGTTAAACAAAATCTACTGGTGATCCTTAGCTTATCCTTGAATAAAAGTTTGGCACATGATTATGCTTGCCTTCTCATGACTAATCATAAAAATTGTTGAGAATTAGTGGGACCATCTGCTTAAATAATTTGTTGATTGAATATTTATTCCAATAATTTATACAAAGTTACAAACATAAAATACAACAAAAAGAAAAGGACTATGAGGCTAGTGAAATTCCTCTAAAAGAAGCAAATTAAAGATTCCCATCATTTTCTAAATTTATATTAACCCTTAATTTTGCTTGGTGTAATTGGTTTACACGTGATGCTCGTGGGAGGCATTTCTTTTTTCATGTTTGTTAATGTGAACAGGCTTCATTATGGGTGTGTAACCTGCATAGCAGTGATTACGACAGTAGGATACATTATTATCAATTAAAAAGTATAGTTGACTGATATTTTAATATATTTTACTTTAGGAGGCCATTTGGTAGGAAGTATTTTTCAGAATTTTTGAGAAATTAAATATTTTTAAATTTTTAATTTTCGGATATTATCGTAAACGGAATGTTTTCATCATATTTTTGAAAATCGAGATTTTCGGATAAATTTTTTTTCTCCTCTACCAAACGCCCCCTAGTATCATAATCATTTTTAAAATCGTTTTTAAAACAATTTTCTTGATAATTTTAGTTATATGTTATTTAATATAAAATTAGGATTCACTTTTTTTACGGTTAATGTAGATAACTTATCTACATTGAGCCCAAAATGATATCATTTTGAGGCAAAAATAAAAGTATTTTTGTAATTATAAGTTATTTCAGGATTACAATAGTCTTTTTTATTATAATTTTTTAATTTTTTAACTCAAAATAATATCATTTTAGAAATGAATATAGTTAACTTATATGCATTTTAAACATTAAAGCTATAAAACTAACTGATCAAAACACATATTTATACTGTTAAGAGTAATAATAATAATAATTAAAGGGACTAAAATGTTGTGTACCAACCCGCATTTGAATCCATCTCAACCATTGATGACTTGTTGTCGTTAGCGATTTGCTTGATTGTGGTTAACAAGTCATCCACGTTTAAAAGAAAGAATTTTGATTAGAATAACATATCAATCCAAGCAAAATTATGCCTAAACTATCATATCAAATCAACTTTATAATAAAATTTAAACCATTAATCAAAATCTTATTCTAAAAATACAAAGGGTTTTGCGTTTGTCATGTTGCATGACAAATGCAAAATTTTTACACATACATCGATATTTATGCTGTATTTTTTTTATTTTTTTTTATTTTAAACATGGTGAACCCCACACTTATTGTCTCTATAACATGACAAGAGAATTTCCTACAACGTGATACTTGTTTTTCCCAAATACAAAATATGATATCAACATCAGTATTTAAAAACTCGGCCTTATTATCGACTCCACCGAGATTAGGGATTACGGGATTGCAAGTTCAACCAGAGAGTCACGAGATCACTTCACTGACCCGAATTCATACATTATATATATATATATATATATATATATATATATATATATATATATACACTATATGAAAAATTCAAAAAAATAAAATCACCAATCATCAAAGATTCAAAATATACTTTAATACAATTCAACCAGTTATATCTACAAGTCAATATTACACAAGCTAATCAAAGTATCAAACTATTAAAGTATAAAATACATCTTCCAATGAAGTTAATAAAAAATTATATCATTAAACTCAGCCCTCTGTGTCCTTCTCACGTACTTACAACAGCATGTGGAAGGAGATCCCTTACACAAGATAGAACGACATAGGAAAGACGGCGGCTCGACGAATCAATGATGGGGAGAGAATAACCAGCACGACGGAGGAGAGGAAGGGAGAAGACCGAAGAGGACAGGAGGAACCACCACTATGGTGGAGGAGATCACCGGATCAGGGAGACTGCGTTTGGGTTTGGGAGAGAAGATCAGAAGATGAAGAACAATTCAGATTTTAGATATAGTTTTAAATCTAGGCAGCATCGAGTTTTTTTTTTGTTTACACATCAAACGACGGCGTTGTGTGTAATTTTTTTTTTATATACAATAACCCCCTCAGGCCCTGTCCGAGGAGTAAGGGTTCAATTAGGGGGTTTCAGGGATCAGAGGGATCAACGTGCATGCATGACCCCAACCCTTAGAGAGGAGGGGTCAGTGACCTAGCAGGGTCAACCTCAGTGCGTAGTAAAGTTTTAAAACACTAATTAATAGTAGGGAAAAGTTCACCAATGCCCCTGTGGTTTGCTTCAGAATCATTTATGCCCCTGTGGTTTTTTTCCTATCACATATGCCCCTGTGCTTTGTAAAAAATAAGAAACCACAGGGGTATATGTGATAAAAAACATACCCTTTTACAAACCACAGGGACATATGTGATAAGAAAAAAATCACAGGAGCATAAGTGATTCTGAAGTAAACCACAGGGGCATTGGTGGACTTTTCCCTTAATAGTATTAGACAAATAGGAAAATAATAATAAAAAATAAAATAAATTTGCCTCACACCAGAGTGCTTCTCACTTCTCACTAGTTGTTACTTACGATGCATCCACATTTCAAGAAATTTGACGTGTTATATTGATATTTCTCGACACTCTAACACGTGTTACAAACACTCAAAAAAGAATTCAAAGATTGCGTTGTTTATATTTTTAGTTTCAATTATTAAATTTGTTGAAATATATTTATCATTTTATTAAGTTTAATATAAATATTTAAATATTTTATATTACTTTACAAAATTAATATATATTATATATTTTATTTTATTTTATATTAAATTATTTAAAAATATTAAATATAATATGTAAATTAAAAATATATTTTAATATTAAAACGTATCGATTTCGGTGTAAAACAGGTTGTTACCTCTTCTTCTTCCCTCTTATTAAATGCTACTTCACAAAACCTTCACCTTTTCGCATCCAAAAACCTCTCTCTCTCTCTCTCTCTAACTGCTTTCACACAACTCGCCGGAAAAATCTTCTCCGACGGCGGTGATGGCTAACCAGTTTTCCAGCTCCGTCGAATTTGGACTTAATCTCACGAAGCGAATTTACTACGGTAAAGGATTGGCTCCACCTCCGGTGCCGGCGATGTCTAGGTCGCCGGAGGGATACCTTCCGACGGCGCCTATGTGTTACGCGGTGATATCGGATCCGGAGACAGTTGAAAACCCGGACATTAGGAGTTATCAGCCGTATGTGCTTGGCCGGTGTGAGCCTCCGGCGCTGATACCTCTTCAGCTTCATGGAGTCGACATGGAAGTTGAGTGCTGTTTGGACACGGCGTTTGTTACTGTCACCGGACGGTGGCGCGTGCATTGCGTCGCGTCAAGTAGCACGTGTGATTGCCAGGTTGCTATACCAATGGGAGAACAGGTAAAGAAAGTGCATAACTATAGCATATACTTACGAAAATGGATTCTATACTATGTTTTATTTAACATGAACTGATAAAAGGTAGAGTGGATCTTATCATGTGAAAAAGTGGTCATGTTATTTGATCACAACCATGACCACTCTTTCACATAAGAGAATCTACTCCGATAAAAAGTAAATTAACGATTTATAATTATTTATTTTAATTTTTTTTCTCATCTCTTATTATTATTATCCAACTTATATGATTACGATTATCTTACATGATCATATCTTGTTAAATAGAACAAAACACAAAAGGTTTCACTCCTATACTTACCTTTAAAATTTTAATAGATTAATATTACGATATATTTTAGGGTAAAGAATTTCTCTATCTATAGTGAACTCAAAACGATGTTATTTTGGAGTGAAAATCAAAATATTTTTATAATTATAATATATTATAGGGTTATATTAGTCTTTATCATTATAATTTTTTAATCTTATAACCAAAACGATCTCGTTTTGAGATCACTTGTGATAACTTTATCTCCGGTGAGTAAAGAATTATTTTTCTCTATATTTTAAATTTCATTAAAAATTTATTTATTTTTACTTGTGTACTGTATACATGTATACATGTCTTTATGGAACCTTATCTAAAGAATATCTGCATTTTTGGATTTAATTAATTTTAAGGAATTTTTTTTTTCTTTCAAAATTGTGTGCTTGTGTTTGACAGAGAAGCATGGTAACTTTGAATATTTAATTGTTGAAGAAACTAATGATTGAAGAGTGAGGTCGCTAAGGCCTCAAATGGATATTTGTTGAAAAGTAAGATAAGGTTTGACCTTTAATGTAAAATAATTTTTTGCGGAAATAATATTTTTGTTGAAATTGTTATTTAGTTTCAGTTTCTTGTTGACAAAAACATTTCTAAAATAAAACAAAGTTATATGTTCGTTATAAACGGGAAAAGTGAAAACATTGAATGTTATATGCCAAAAATAGAAGAGTGATAACATGTGAATAACGTGACGGGAGATGGTGTTTGGTTTGTTTTTTCATTTATTTGTTATTTAATATTTTTTTTATAATAATAATAATAAGAATATTACATTTTTTAATTTTATTTCTGGCTTTAAAATTTGTGAAGGAAATAAATATGTTCTCCATTTCCTTCACAAAATTTCGAAAATTAAGGTGATATATCATTTATTTTTTATTTTTATTTTCTATTAATACATTTTTACTAATAATTAATAAAAAGGTGAAAATATTTTTATTCTGTTTTAAAATTTGTGAAGGATATGGTAGAAATAATATTTTATCCAAAAACACCAAGAAAAAATAAATATAAAATGTTATTATTGTAATTATTAATGAAAATATATCAATTATAAATAAAAATTAACTACAAAACAAACATCCAAGAAGAAAATATAAACAACGTGTAATTTTTGTAATTAAAAATAAAAACAGAAAACTATTTAATTATTCATTTGACTGCATGGAGTTGCTAATTAATATACCATGATGTATCTTACAACAACTATGAACGGTGTGATTTATTATAAGAGTGAGAGAAACAAATATAATCATTTGATAATGCATATGTATCATCTAGATTTGAATGTCTTGAGTTGACATTTGTTCTGGCTAGCAATTTCTACGAGTGGGAAGATGATGAATTGTATGGAGGGATTAGACTTCCACAAACTGAAAAGTGCTTTTGAAGCATGCCTTTTCCCCCCCTTCTGTGGGTGATATTGCACTCAGTTGTTCTGCAGCTTCTGCTTGTTTTTTGAAATGGTGATGCTCAGAGGAAGGCTACTCATACTCCAGATTAAAATCAGAAACGATTAGTCATGACATGATAAGATTAGGCTATTCCTGTCCAATCATGTTAACTGCCTAGCATCAAGTTCCTTTCATCTCTTATTATGTTATGTTAATATCAAGGGTTACTTTGTGTTATTCCGGCTCAATTTTTAGATGTATCATATTATTAATATTAGTTATTAATTAGTTCTGATTAAAATGGGCTGACATTGTCAGGCGGATCAGGGGGAGTCCATGGGAGACACCTATTCGACACCATGTCTCGATCCAAAACCTTAAGGCATTGGGTTTATTAGTCCATCCACTTATATACACTTCACTTAGTCCCTTATTAACTAATGTGGGACTCATCACACTTAACAATTTCCCCCTCAAGTGTGAAATCCAACATTGGTATGCTCCCACTCAACCGAGTACCCAGGTCCAAAGTACTCAACCCGCCTCCTAACCCGAGCTAGCTCTGATACCACTATTAGGCGGGTTCAGGGGAGTCCGTGGCGGGGGACTACCACCATTGGGTTAAGTTAGACCAACCACATCAAGTGGGTCCGATGCCATATCACAATGCAAAACCTTAAGATATTGGGTTCATGAGTCCATCTCACTAGCCCATTAACAACCAATGTGCTACTCATTATACTTGAATATCGCCATAGACGTCACTTGTTTTTTTATACTGACACTAATTATCTCTTCGAGGAAAGTCGACCTCCGATATCTCCACAAGCTTCAACTTTTTGAGTCGGTTATGAGACTAATCCCGAGTCAAGAGTTTAGTCCGGCATCACTTGTTTAGACTACAAGAATATATGTGACTGTGAGGGCGGAATCATTAAATTGAAGTTGATCTTTAAGATCGATATCTTAGCAATGGTCTAGTTTAGAAAACTGTAGCATCTTGGGTTAATGTCCATGGCTCCATGCCTTCCTAACAATCTATTGAAATTGGTTCTTTTGTGCGAGCATCATCATCAAGATGCGCTGGTGCTTATAAGTTGCGTTTCTTTGTCGGTCATGTTGCGCCGTTGATGTTTGGTCATGATGATGGATTATATGGAATGTATTCCTGTTTCTTAGTTTTATCTCATGATACTTGATGATATTGCATACTGTTAAAGTTTGTTTCATGAATTCTCAAGTTAAATATGATGTGGCTAACAGGGTTCACTTCTAGGTCTCGAGGTTGATGATTCTGGAAGATCTTATCATACTGAGTTGATCTCTCTGAAAGATGAAAAGGATAAGGAGAAACTAGCCAAAACTAAAGATGGATACTTTTTGAAAAGCCAAATATACACCGTTAAGATCCCACAGGTTATTATTACATAGCAAAACATATTAATCTCACTTCATTGTTGATAGTTATATTAACATGTACAGCCTATTTATATAAGAAATTAATTTTGTCTTGCAGTTTAATGGAGGCTCCGTCTTCTCAGTTAAGATCAGATGGTCTCAGAAAATATTATTTCATGATGGCCAGTTCACTCTTAGTGTCCCTTTTAGCTTTCCTTCGTATGTCATCCCAGTTGGAAAAAAAATTTCTAAGAAAGAGAAGATATTTTTGAAAGTCAATTCTGGTGCTGCAACGGAGGTGTTATGCAAAACTACCAGTCATCCTCTTAAGGTAAAACGTATTGTGCTATTACGAAGTTCAGTGGTCTCTGTTACTTGAACTAAACATTATTTTCACGACTTTCCAGGGACTAGTGCGCCAAGCTGGCAAATTAAGTTTATCATATGAAGCAGAAGTGCCAGCTTGGTCAAGTACAGACTTCAGTTTCTTGTACAGTGTAAGACTTTGAAACCTAGAATTCTTTGGTGTTGATTCTGAATCATAGACATTCTGAGCAATAATAAAATATTATTAGCTTAATTGGCTAGTTTTTTTTTTCAGGTTTCTTCAACTGACGTATTTGGTGGTGTTCTCTTGCAATCTCCATTCCTCCGCGATTTTGATGAAAGAGAGATATTTTGCTTGTATCTTTACCCTGGAAATAGGCAGGATGGAAAGGTTTGTTGCAATATTATGCTTCGTCAATTTTTTGTATAGTTTACTTATGATTGTTTTAAGGTCAAATAGCTAGACGAGGTTGTATCTTGTATGTGTATATGTAACACGAATGCACCAAATGGTTATCTTGCAGCTTGTATGTAAGCTGTCTCCACTTTTCTTCCCCATATATGAACGGATAAGATGGATCTGCCTGTTCTTTGCTAAGTCTTAGCTAAGCAAGAATAATTTCGTCCAGAAGTATAATTGTTTGTTAAAGTAGAAAGATATTTATATTTATAAAAGTAATTAGACACATATGGAACTCGGACAAATTGTTTGGGAACAAATTAGTACAATGGAGGATAGAGATATTGTAGTCAGCATTGCACAGGTGCATGTTTTGTTCACTCTTTCAATCTAGCGGCCTTTACTTTTCAAGCAAAGTCTCTGTCCGTTTTGCAAATTTATAATGGAGCATTCTGTTACAATCCTTGATAGGTTTTTAAAAAGGATGTGGTGTTTATAGTAGATATAAGTGCAAGCATGAAGGGAAGTCCTCTTGACAACACAAAGAATGCACTACTGGCATCACTTTGTCAACTGAATGCACAAGATACATTTAACATTATAGCTTTCAATGGTGAGGTCTACTTATTTTCTTCATCGATGGAAACAGCTACAGAAGAAGCAATTTTAAATGCTGCCAAATGGGTTGGCACTACTTTTATTGCAAGTGGTGGTACGAACATCATGCTTCCCTTAACTCGGGTAAGTCTTATTTGTTGACATTTTCAGTATGATGCGCAAAACATTCTTCTCTTATTTCGTGGCTTGTTAATTAAATTTTCTGTTATTTTGGTTTCTCAAATCAACTGCACGGTTGAGAATATTTTTACATTCCAAGAAGAGGAGATGAAAAGCCTAAGGCTACTAGTTCGTTCTTGTTATTTATACATCAAATTTAAAACCTTTTAAAGAATTAGTTCGTTCTTATTTATCTAGCTTTCTCCCATTTGTCTTGGAATCTACCTGGTTTGTTACGGCTAGAAGTCTACAATCTTATCATAAGTACACTGAACTTTGAGTCTGTGGCAGTTTTTAGCATTCACAATATCATATGCCTTATTTCACTTTCAGACTTGATATCCCGTTTAATCTGCTTGTAATGTGAACCGTAAAGATAAAAGGTAGATGGATTGCTGATATGGCATATTTCACTTGCCTTTTAATAACTAGCACAGTAGCACATTCTATGCGGTGCTTAATAGCTTGTATCCTGTGCAGAACTTTTGCATGTTGAATCCTTAATATGTACATATTGTCATAGGAATTTTGTTTAATATTCTGCTCTATCTTAGGCAATGAAGCTATTTCGGAAATCAATTGATTCAGTCCCTCTTATTTTTCTCGTTACTGATGGGGCTGTTGAGGATGAGAGAGAGATATGCAATTTTGTGAAAAGCTGTATCACAAGTGAGCAATCAGTTCGCACACCCCGCTTATGTACTTTTGGCATAGGCAAGGATTCTAGCTTCCTCTTCTCTTTATATTCTTCAGAAAATAGATTCTATGATATCATTAACTGGCAATCTTCTTTTGACACTTCAATCCTTGATCAGAGTTTTGCTTACTTTAGCTGATGATTTAAGTAGCCAAAAATTTTTGATACTTAATTTATGAATTTTTTAAACTGGAGAGACAAATGCTTTGTGACATGAGGGTTAATTGTCAAGATGAGGCTGCCCAAAAATAGGTTCTAGTTTGTTCAAGAATAAAATTAAGTAAGAATGTACGTACTAAAAACAAGGAAGTGTCAATGGGGGTTGGCTCAACTGGTAGGATCGAGCAATATTGACAAAAAGGTCTTGGGTTTGATTCCTAACAGTGAACTTTCATTGGTAGGTCATCTAGAAGTAGTATTTAAAGTCTTTGGCAATCCCTGTCCTTTCCCTCTAAAATTTTTTGTAACAAAAAATTAAAAGAAAAGAGATTTTTTTCAATTGCCATTACTATAATTGGGATTGGGACAATTATGATGTAACCAATCTGAATATAGAAGTTTCTATTTATCAATATTTCCTATAAGCTATAGCTGATGCTTTCAGTATATTTCTATATAAGTTTCTGATAGTTGAGAAACCTTCTTATTGTCATAATATCTTTTTTTCTTAATCAATGGTAGTCACTTGATTGATTCTTCCTGCTAATGCTAAAGCCATTACACTTATTCTGAAAATCACCCAATACAAGCACCTTCCCCCCGACCCTGCCTCCCAAAATATTCACATAATATTGAACATAGATTTATTTATCATTAATCTGTTTATTTATTGAAACGTTTTCATTAATAATTCTCTGTTTTGCAATTTGAAAATTTCAGGTTTATATTGTAATCACTACTTCCTGCAAATGCTAGCTCAAATTGGGAGGGGTCACTATGATGCCGCTTTTGATTTAGGTCAGCATCTTTCCTTGCCCATTCAGCCTAACGTTGCAGCTTGAAGTTAGCGCAGATTTGAGGCTTAAAATAAAAAGATTTCTTGTTTTGTAATTTGTCTTGAAGTGTTTGTAAGTGCTAATCAGTGTGTAGGCAGATTCTTTATTTTGTAATTTATTAGCTGTACAATTGGGATTGCCATTAAACCTTAAGTATTCAGGTTTTGCAAAAGTTACAAAATTTTATACATATTTTTATCCCAAGGGAAACAGAGTAATTATTACATAATCTTTATGAGAAGTTTTATTAATTTCTTCATTTTTTATCTTGGCCAGATTCAATTGACTTCCGAATGCCAAGGCTAATTAGTACTGCCTCATCAGTTATAGTTGCTGATATAACCATCGAAAGTTTTGAAGGTCTTGACTCACTGGAGGTACATAACCAGAATATTTTATCCTTAATTATAATTTGAAATATGTGCTCTAATGATCTAGTTTATTTGAAGATCATGTTTACATGTTACATCTCTTCGATGTTTGAAGTTTAAACTATGTTCTGATTATTGCAGTTATTCCCAACTCATATTCCAGACCTATCATTTGGAAGTCCGTTGATCATATCAGGCAGATATAGTGGAACTTTTCCTGAATCAGTTAAAATTACTGGTACTTTGGCAGATATGACCAACTTCGTAGTGGACCTTGAAGTGAAGAGAGAAAAGGATATCCAACTAAGTAATGTAATATCTCAATCCTAAGGCTTAACTACTACCTATTCATCATATCTGATTGAGATTCGAAAATCGATTCCATCTTAGCAATTGGGAACTGAATATTACCATGCAATTTGTAGTCTTAGCTGCTCCTACATGAGTATCATCATATTTTCCCAGATTCAGCCGCTTCCTATGCTGTACTGCTGTTATGTTTTGAGGGCTTCACTTTTGTTTGAGAGATACAATATAAAATCATTAAAGGTCCATCCCTTACCAATTTGAGCTATTGGGTGAAATGATTGCTTATCATGGTATCAGAGCCAAGGTGACCACGGGGTCTCGAGTTTGATTCTCATCGCGTCCCATTGGGTGTGTGCAATATTCACACTTCAAGCTCAAAGGGCTCTTACATGAAGGGTGTTGAGATATATAGTCCCATATTGGTTGTATGTGCAACTAATGTTGAGTTTATAAGGTCTTGGGCACTCTCACCCTTTGAGCTAGCTTTTGGGGTGGTGTATCCCAAGGTTCTTTACATGGTATCAGAGCCTCGCCGCCCCCCACTTTCTCTTGTGGCGTTTCTTAGCACAGGTAGGCTGGGCCTGTTGCATTGTACACTCTTCAAGCCCAATGCGCTCTCGTGTGAGGGGGCGTGTTGAGATATATAGTCCCACATTGGTTGTATATGCAACTAATGTTGAGTTTATAAGGTCTTGGGCACTCCCACCTTTTGAGCTAGCTTTTGGGGTGGTGTATCCCAAGGTTCTTTACAAAGGGGTATGTTAGAGAAATTAATATAAAACCATTGAAGGCCTATCATTTACCAGCTTAAACTGGATGAGATGGTTGCTTATCAACTTTTTACTTCTGCTGTTCACTCAACGCTTTGTTCTGGTTCAGTTGGGCAGTGGGTGCATTAAAAGTGGATGGTCTTTTAGTTATTGTTTCACAAATCTGTGTTGCATCTAAATGTGTATTTCAACTCTTAAACCCTTAAAACCCTTATCAGTCTAAACTTATATTAGTTCTGCATTTATAAATTTCTTCCTTAGGCATGTGGTATGTATTTCATAGTATTGCAAATTGAAATTTGTGAAATTCCAGAATAATTTGAATTGTAGATCCTTTAAATAGTGTGCTTGCTGAATGCATACTCGACTATGCTTTAAGATGCGGCTTGATATAAATTTTGGTATCCTCTCCAGGTCCTTTCAAAGAGACATATAGACCTTGTCACTGCTCATGCCTGGTTATTAGAAAGTAAAGAGCTGGAGGAGAAGGTTAGTCTATTACGTACTTTTATGGACATTGGATTTCTTTTTAAAAAGAAAAGGGGAAAAAAAAAAAAAACTAAGGTGAAAACGGAAAATTTGAGGAGACCAGTTTACATTCAAACATTTGTTTCAAACAAAATCATACTAATTTTACACACACTGACAGAAAGAGTTACACGGAGAGAGGAATCAATTAAGATGGACTTGAAAGCAATGTTTTGGAGAAAAGTGTCTGCTATCTAAGTGTGATGTATATTTCAGATTACTAAATACAAGTCTTTGCTCTGCTTTCTCTCGTTTTAAAATCAACAAATATGCTAGGATAAATATGGATTTTCATTTTAGCATAGCTTTGTTTTTATATGTCTTCAAGTGGTTATACTTGTAGTATATTATGTGTGTTGCCGCACCACTCATCTGTAAGCAAAATGCCAAACTGCCATGTAACAGGTTTCTAAAATGAGCATTCAAAGTAAAGTCCCGTCAGAGTATACCTGCATGGACATGGTTCTTGTGCAGAGTGACGAAGGGAAGAAGGCACCTGAACCATTTCTGTTACAAAAGGTAAACCTCTGCCTTGGATTTTAGCAAAAATAAGGGCAAATTTTACCTCCCTCTACTCCAAAAATATCATACATTTTCCCTCTGCACAATATATTATATGTCTGATTACCTATGTTCTTTCAAAACAGGCATACAGCAGATTAAGCTTCCAGAGTTTGGGACCTGACATCCGTAACTTATTCCTTGGAGGGATGAGTCTTGGATTTGGTGACTTGAAAGCAACAGCTGAGAACATTCCACCAGCAATAAAAGAAGCAAAACCATCTGAAGGACTATTGGAGAAGGCTGCTTCCAATTGTTGTGGATTGGCTGATACCTGTTGTGGCATGTGTCTGCTGCAGACTTGCTCTTGTGTGAATGACCAATGCACCATTGTTTGCACCCAACTTTGTGCAGCTCTGGCTTGTTTTGAGTTAATCAAATGCTGTTTTGAGCTCTGCGACAGTGATTGTTTGCAGTAAAATACATAAGAAAATCTGTTTAGTGTATTACAAAATACAAATGGTTAACATTGTACATATGATCTTGTGCAATAATGTCTGCAGTTTATACTTGCTACTATTTCCTCAATTCCTCGTCTAAAGGAGGAGAAGGGGGGGGGGGGGGGAAGTTAAATAATAACTAATTCTATCAATTTGTGGAATATTTTTTTTAATTGAATAAAAAAATAAAATTAAAACTAATTTCTCGTCTAATTTTATTTTATTTTTTCATTTAAGAGAAAAACAGGACACAAACCGATAATTTTTTTTTTTAATAACATTTGTAATAAATTTTAATTATACAGATAAAAACCAAAATTATAATTTTTAAATTAATTAAAAAAAGATTAGAGAAATAAAAATTATATTTAATTAAAATGTGAATAAATAATTAGAAAACTAAAAGTAGTCAACGACTTTCTAGCTTAATTAGTTTGTGGATTGATGAAACAATGATCCATATAATTGCTTAACTAAAAATATATTATTTGTTAATTTAATTTAATAATTATTTAATTAAAATATAAAATAAAAGTGATAATTAAAAACAAGCATATTTAAATCTACTTCCATCCACCCTATATTAATAATTTAGTGAACTGTATTAGTTTTAGTTAAACAACCAACCAAAATATTTGTTATACATCCAATGGATTTCCACAAGATTTAGAGGATGAAATGCATTTGGACTTAGAGGAGTCTACATGCATCTAAATAAGAGAAAAACAATGAAGGCTGAAATGTATTTAGACAAAAAAAAAAAAAAAAAAAAAATCTACATAGAATTATTTTAAAAAATTAATGTTTTAGGATTAAGAGTATCCTTTTATTATTAAATAAAAATATCCATCCATTGAAATGAAGCTATGATAAGAATAATTTTTTTAATAATTTTGGGCTCTATTAATCTCATACAATAAAATAAAAACTTTTTATGCTATAGAGATAATCATGTGTGAAACTTATCCATTTATAAATAATAATAATAATATAAAAATCGATATATGTCTAGGAGAGAAAAATACTCTTCTACACAACAAGATTATATTTTTTCAGTTTTAAATGGATTAAATTTATTTTTACCCATCTTCACAGGCATTTATGACTCATTTTCCCATGTTATTTTTAATAATAAAATTTAAAAAAATAAAATAAAACTTCCCATGTTCTTTTGACGTTGGGTCGCAGCCTAGTCATTGTTCGTAAGCCGTTGCAGCTACAAACAACTGACTAGTTTCGTTGTCTCCTCTTCATAACACGTACGAGGTACGAGGTATCTCTCTGTCTGAACGCTCAGAAATGCAACAAAAACTACATCAATATTTTTTGTTTTTCGAAACTTGTTTTCCATATTTCACTGCTTATACCTATGAATGGGGATTGAGGAGAAGATAAATAGGAAAAGAAAAACCTCTTGCTCAGCTCATTTGAGCTATGATGATACCTTCTTTGAAATTCAAAACAATTAGAAGCATGGAAAACTCCTTCTTTCTTTCTTTTCTTTTTCCTCGTAATCTTTCATTTTTGAGGCAAAGGGAATCAGTTATTTCAATCTGAATATGATAAGTTGCTTATTTTCTTTTTGGTGTGATTGTTTAGTTGTGAACTTGTATAGATTGTAATTGTTGTGATTTTTGTTGGTTCTTGCAGTTTGATTCTTCAAATGAGACCCCCTTTTGTTGGATTCATCAGAAAATTTTTCCTTCTTGTTTTGGTCTCCGCTTTATGGTAAGCAGTGGCTGCAGTTTTAGGGTTTCAACTTTCCTTATTATAAATTGGGTAATCAGTGAACTTGGTTAAACAAGGAATATAATGCTAGGATTTCCTTAAGCTTCAATATATATTTCTTGGGGATAAAAAAATAAATAAATTATTCTCCGGGTCTAGTTATAAACATAAGATCTATATGTTTGAATGAGATAACTGAGCATATTTTGTTTTCTTGGTTCGTACAGATTAATAATTCTGAATTTCTGATTGATTCTTGCTTTGCTGTTTTTCTTTTTTCCTCTCTCCCTGTCTTGTATTCTCTGATAGCTTTCAGAAATTTAACCAAGTAAATGATTTCTGATGAAATGTATCTTTACAAGCATCAGATTAGTAACACTTGAGTAGGAATTATTATAGCAATGGTAGTTTATCTTGATGATGGAGAGTTGTGCATGTTCATGTACATATCAAATTATCAATGTTTTACATGTTCAATTCACAATATAACTGTTTCCAGATTTAGACGTTGTCTATTTATACATGTGTGTGTGTGTGTGTGTAATTTCAGATTGATGTAATTGAAAGTGCACAAAGAGTGGGAGAAAAAAAAAATTGACTTTGTTGTCTTTTTCAAAAGTTGTAGTTCTTCAACCCATGGAAGTACAAAATCGGAGAAAACTTTAGCAATTATAAAACCAGATGGATTGAGTGGAAACTACACAGATGACATCAAGAGAACAATTTTAGACTATGGTTTCAGCATTATTAAGGAAAAGATTGTTCAACTTGATGAGATCACTGTGAAAAGATTTTACGCAGAGCACTCTTCAAAATGCTTCTTTTCTAGCCTTGTAAAATACATGACAAGGTATCCCACGATTGTTTCAATGCAAGATGGTGTTATATAAAGTTTCCTGAGCTGTTATGTTAACCTCATAATGTTGACTGTTTGTTGGATTGCCTAATTGCTAGATCTACTTCTACTTAGTTTTATTTGCTAGGTGCTGGGAAAATTACTTTAATCTTTGAGCTCAATGATATTTATTTTATTGTTTTCCCTTTATCTCTTTAATCTTTATTCATTTGTTATGGCATTACCTTTGGTTGGTCAAGATTAAGGCCAAATTCAGTTCAGTTGAGTTTCATTATTATATGATTGATTTTTAATTTATGCATGTTAGCGGAAATGAAGTTACTGAGTACAGGATTTCCTTAACTAAGGGGAAATGATGTTATGCACAAGGGAGTGTGTTTGACATGTAATATAAAAGCATTCATGTGTACTTTTACATAACAGCTTAAGATTTTGGAATAATTGGTTCATGACAATTCGTCACTCTGATTTCTGTTCACACTGATCATTTTAATCAAATTTGATGTTTACTTTCAGCATGCTTTCTAGTCTTTTATTATCCTAAATTCCCTTTTCTGCTTCTCCATAAACGATTAATATCAGTGGACCAGTGTTAGTTATGGTTTTGGATAAGGATAATGCTATTGCTGATTGGCGTGCTTTAATGGGCCCTACTGATGCAAACAAGGCTAAGATTACTCACCCTCACAGGTCATGCATGTTACTAATTACACTCCATTGTGCTTGTGAACTTTGTAAACTTTGTTCAACTTGTGTAGATTTGAGCCCCTAGACTCTGTCATATTTGGGACCAATATTATCGAGTTTGATGTCATGACATATGTTAATTTGCTCTAAGTGAAACTAGTTTACTATTTTCTACAGCATCAGAGCACTGTGTGGTTTGGATACCGAAAAGAATTGTGTTCATGGTTCAGACTCTCTCAAATCTGCACAAAGAGAGATACCATTTTTCTTCGGAGAGCTTTCTGCAGGTCAATATTTTTAATTCTATTTTTAATCAAATATCGATAAAATATTCACTCTTTATATATATAATATCAATAAAATATTCACTCTTTATATATATATATATATGAAAAATGGTTTGTCATGTGACTGGACATAAGGTTTTGTCCGGTTACATATTTTTTAACTATGTACTATGGGTAGTACATAGTTATAATATTAAAGTTATTTTTTTAACTATGTACGACGGGTAGTACATAGTTATAATATTAGTGTCGTTCTGCAATCTATTCTTTAATATTATAACTATGTACTATCCGTAGTACATAATTAAAAAAAAAAAACTTTAATATTATAACTATATACTACCCGAGACTAACTTATGCACCCTAGAGTGTCTTAACCCACTTTCATGAATAAAATTGTTTCAAGTTTTGTTTTCCTCATATTGATGGGCATGATGCAACTCACTTTTAATCTTTTTTAGGGTTTAGTATCTGTTGTTTTTTCATAATAGCTTCTAAATATGATCATTCTTCCCAGGTAATATAGCATGAAGATGAACTTTAAGATTTCTGTTTCCTATAGACTTTCTGTCAAAACAAAATAGTAATAGAATGACGGAAGAGAATGTGGTAAAAAAGGGCATCAATATCTAAACATACTCATTTTATGGTATCAACTTGTTAATATAAGCATTCTTTTTTGAACTTAAGTCAGAAAGGTTCTGTTCCAACTATCATAACCTCTTATTTATTCCATCAAAATGCATGTGCAAGAAAGCTATGTACATACTTTTGCATATCCATTTCTTTTGACAGATGTAATTGCAGAACATGATGAGCTGTAGCTGGCAAAAGTTTGAAGCAGAAACACAACTTTTTTTTTTTTTTTTTTTTTAAATTATTTGTGAGGCTTGTTACTGTTATATAATTTGTATACCGGATTGCTTCAGTGTCTAACACCACTTCTGCTATCAATTGAGAGTGTAATTTTAGTAGGAACATTTTTCCGTGGGTTACGTACTTTGATGATGAATTATTAATAATTGGAACGTAATATATATACCTTGTGTATATATTGTAATTTTGAATTTCAATTTATTTTTGTTACATTTGAAGTGCATTTGGATAAAGAGAAAAAAAATAAAATTAGTCGTTGTTTACTTGATTCTGTGTGCCGTATGTAGAAAGAAAAATAAATGAAATAATTTTATAAAATTTAATAGTCTTGCATGATAGTCATCTTTATAGAAAGAGATTCTTAAAGCACTTGAGAATTATGAATGAATAACCTCCGTAAATGAAAAATATTTTTAATGATTATGATGGAAAAAATTGGGAGGTTAAGTTACAAAACCAACGAGATCCTCAGTAATTGGCACTTATGTTGTTGCCTGTTAGAAAGGGATCACCACAAGGAACAATGTTTTATATACATTGCAAGAATAAAGGGACCACCATGGAACCTAATCCCTTAACTCCTACGCCCCGTTTCTCTTCTGCTTGCTCTGTTGCATTTTAACTCCGCATGGATTTTAAGCTATGTTTATGCATTTAATTTTTTTTTAAATTTTTATTTCATGTCTGTAACGCCAGACCGCTTCAAGAGTCAATGACTATCCCCACATACTAACACGAGACTTTTTAGTGTGTTTTTTCCTTATTCGCACACTTCCCGGAAAAATTTCTCAGGAGGTCACCCATCCCAGAATTGCTCCAAGTCAACCACGGTTAACTGTGGAGTTCTTCCGATCCGAGCTACCGAAAAGCAGATGCATCTTGTTAGTATAGGTAGTATCAATTAATTCTTATAAGTCATTCTCAATTGTACCGTCTCATACCAACACAGTCTCTGGAATCCCTCTCTTTCGGGTGTTGATTCGATTCATTCATGTACCCCCGTCCCTAGAAGCCTGCCAGGAGCCGCTCCTTGTTTGTGCCCTTTCGCACCGGCGATCACTCTCCGCCCTCGTCAGCGCCCGGGATGTTACAATGTCGGTGACATCCCCAAACATGAGGGAAAATAGGAAGGTTTTTGTACAGATTGCCAATTCTTTTTTATGGTATTTTTTATTGTTCTGTTCCAAGGACATATATGTTTAATCAAGAGAGTCTAAGGGGCCGTTTGGTACAAAGTTTTTTTTAGAATTTCTGGAAAACTGAAGGTGATAATTTTATTTACTCACGTTTGATATGAGATTTTTAAAATTTTTCCAGGAATCTAATTTTCCTGAAATTTTATTTTCTGTGTAATTATTTTTTTAAAATACCATCCAAGAAGACCACCCACGGGGTGGTATTCTTGGATTTTTATGACAAGAAAATTTTTAATACAGCCAAACATAGTATCAAGAAAATTAACCCAATAATCTCGGAAATACGTTAGCCTACCAAATAACTTTTTGATAATATTTTAATAAAACTCATTTTCCTGGAAATCATAATTTCTAGATTAAAAAAAAATTCTCCACTACCAAACGCCATCTAGATCAATATTGAATCTAAATGCTCTCTTAAGTATCTATAGATTAAATATCCTTGAATATAGCATATTACTGTACACAAATAATAATGACTTTAACCAAAAGTGTAGTATATATGCACAGTGATAATATAACATTAAAGAAAGAGCAAGTGTCCATACCTATAGATTTTACCTTTTATTTATAGGATTTATATGTGAGTAGTAAAATTTTAAACTTTTGGTGTCTCCTCTGAAAACTCATGTCTAAATTTATTGTTATCGTATTAGAATTAGTATATACTTTTCTTATGTTATATTAATCTCTTCTTTTTATTGCTTATTGGGCTTTATATATAATGTGCGCCTCTGATATGTAGTCATTTTATCTTCATTAATATTGACAGATATATGAACTGCATTTAATTTTTGTTATCTACTTGTCTTTACATTTTTTTCCCGCTTTCCCATGATAGAGCGTAGTAGGTTAATATAAAGAAACAAGCTCCCGATCTTGCCATATTTCTAATTCAACCATATGAAATTTCATGTCCAACTAAAGAATGGTGAGGGGAGCGGAATGGAGATCTTTTAATAGACTCCAAAAACAGTTGTTTTTGAATTTAAATTAAAGATTCCAGAATATTTCAGAGTCTACTTTATTATCAATTTGTAACGTTTATTAAATAGTCATTTGTAATTAGGATTAAATGGCCTTTTTAACTAAGATACAATTGTATTCAAATTCAAATTGCCATTTATAACGTTTATTAAATAGTCATTTGTAACTACTAGTAATGTAAATTTTCTGCAGTGATGTGGAGCACCGGCGTAGGCTAAAAATGAAGGAGGTCCTATATCAACATTGTCAAAGGAATTCATTTCAGAGGAATATGTGGAAATCAAAACAAACTTAAGTTGTGCACGTTATTAGTTGGGATTGTTTATATAATGTAGGGTTTTATAAGAGTTATGTTGTAGGAAAAATGATTGTGTAATGTTATAGAGATTCGTTTCATGTTATTAGTTGGAGATTGTTTATATAATGTAAGATTTTATAAGAGTTATGTTGTAGGAAAAGTGATTGTGTAATGTTATAGAGATTCGTTTTGCGTGCCATAATTTTTTTTTTTCTTCAAAAAGTGTGGGCCTCACAAAATATTATGTGTGTAAGAAAGTTTGTTGTGTCATGTTAAATGATAAATGCAAACTCCTATAATGTAAGTTATATTTACTATTTAGCAATTAGGATATAAAATAATAAAAAAGAATAACATGCGTTTGCCGGGAGTCGAACCCGGGTCTATTGCTTGGAAGGCAATTATCCTAACCGTTGGACTACAAACGCTTTGTGTATGTGTTTTTAATGTGATTCTTTTCATATTAAGATTTATATTCATACCTTTTTCTTATTTTTGTTTATTTTTAAGGTAAACTATTCATAGTCATACCTTAAATATCACTTTCAGATTCTCCTTACATCTAAATTTTTATTAAATTACGTATTTCTTATTTTTCCTATGTCAATGTGCTTCTTTTTTTTTATAAAAAAAAAAAGACATCTTGAGCATGATAGTTAAAATTTTGATTTATCACTAAGTTTTTACAATTTTTTTCAACAAAATGTTTTTATCAATATTCCAAGCGCTTTTATGATTTTTTTTTTACATTTTACCATTTTTTATTCCCCTTTTGTTTTTACATAAAATCTTGTTTTTAATTACTTGGTCTTGACCCAATCACTGATTTTGTATACTGTTCAACTGTCTATTACTTTGCTAAAGGGGAAGCAATATAAAAATATAGATCGGGTTTAATTATTTTAACTAAGGAATCTTATTAAAATTAGAGACACAATGCCAAATGATGAACATATAAGAACCGCAAACCCTTTAATTTTACCATCTCTTTTCTCTATTCAGTGTTTTATGTAGAATGTTTGAAATAATGTTGTCAAATTGGACAGGACCGAAATAGAGGCCTCACCCATTTATTTTAATTGGTTTGTTATGAAGTCATAGTTGGCAAATTAAATTTTGAAGAACTTTCCTTGAATTTTGCAATTTTATGCCTTTATTGATGAATCAAAGTGATGATGTGGATGCAACGTACACTTGATAATCCCACGTCAACATAGTTTTGATGATAACAAAGAGGAATGTTCAAAGACGAAGAAACATCCAAAAAGAAACTCAAGCAAATGAGAAAACATGCAAGCACCAAGTCTCAAGCATCAATCCAAGTCCAAAATCTCAAATTATATATTTATTTAGGATTTAGGAAAAATGTGTAAAAGTGTATAGATACTAAGCATTGCATGAGCTGAAGGTCATTCATCACTCATATATTTCAAAAGCATGCATCCTTAAAGAAGTGTCAAAACAAAAGGTTTGATTTGTCCAAAATTGATTTGAAAAAGATACCTACATGATTTAAACGCTTCAAGACAGTTTCCATAACCAACTTCATGAATTAAAGTCATAGAAACTTTTTTTAAAGAAAAGAAACTCAAAATTCGAGCAAAAAGGATGCTGCCATGAAATATCCGGATATGAGCCCGATAAATATCCGGATATGTACGGATTACAACGGCTAGAAACGGCTAGTTTTCAAAGGAGGTGTCAATATAAATACCCACATCAGTCATGATGAACAGTACACGAATATAGATCATTTATTGAACCTTTATTACTCATTCTAGCTCATTATTGCTCATTAATTGCTTACTTTACTCATTGCATACACTTGAGCTCATCTTTCTTTGAAGCTATACATCTCTTAGTTCTTCAATTTGTGCAATCTGTACTTTGAGAGTACTTAGCCACTTTTAATCACCTCAATCTTACTTCTTGATTTGAGAGGGGAGTGAACCCTATACTTAAGAGGTCACCAAATTCCTAAGTAAATTTGGAGTGAAAAATTGTGAGGTATCAAAAGCCCGAAGTCTTGAAAGGTTGCAGAGGTTTGTCAAGCACCCTCAAGCTTGATAGCTAGTGAAAAGAATTGATCGAGCGGCTTCAGTCTGGATGTAGGTCACGGTGGTGGTGACCGAATCAGGATACATCTAGTTTGCAATTTCTCTAACATTTACCTCCTCACTTTATTATTGAAATTGCATATTTAGATTGTCTTTATCCATTCGTTTGCTTACTTTGTTAATCTCTACACTTGCTCTCACACTTAGATTTTTTCTTATTAAGTCACTTTATTGAAAAAATAGTCTTTAAAATATCAAATGAGACACTTTACGAAAAGATTTTGTAAAACTCAATTCATCCCCTCTTAAATGTTGAAGCCACTTGTCCAACATTTATTAATGTGGGTCATTTCTCGTTAGATGTTGATAGAGGAGCTACTTTAATTCACTTGGACCATAGTCGGACATTAGCGTACGAAACTAGAGAATGACTAGTAGACAAAACCAGGAAAATAAGCAGTGTGCGCAAGATAGCATAAATGTAATTGGTAGGAAAAGTTCACAAAGTTTGATAAGATGTCCAGAAAGTTTGATGAGATGTTTGTGATTAAAGTTTATTAAGTTCCCTAAAC